CTACTTCATCCACATCCAGACACCATAACATCTCTCGATCGACAGAGTCGAATGTCACTTTTAGGTCATGAAATATGACAATTGACGGGAGCCGGTAAGGATGCCTGTGTTCCTAAATTTATCGAAGGATGGAGATCTGATCGACACAGTCTCGCCCAGGTCTGGAACCTGTCTGGTTTTCTCTAGTCCGCTGTCCTCTAGCGTCAGCTAGGAGTCGGATAACCTTGGACCTCAGGATCTCGAATACTGCCATTCAAACGGATTTCCCTACTGTTGTCACAAGATTTGTCTTCTTTCTGACTCACTGATATGACCAGTGATGTGGACTATTCTGACAGGACTGCCCAAGATTTCCATGTGAGCGGTGCTGAATTTAGACGAGGAATGTTAGGCATTGAAGGTGTGTTGGCCAGTCAAGTAGCGATTATTTAACGACTGCGATATCTTCGTCATGAGTTGCGCATGTCAACCCACCGCTAAACTGCATGTGCAATATCAGCCGAAATAGGATTACGTTGGAAAAGGTTCAGAGTGCCTAGTTCAAGACGTGACATTAGTTCATGAAGTCTGACTGTCATTTCGAACCATGTAGGGAGATGTAGGCTAACGGGCTGAAGTTGTCGAGACGATAGGAATCGATGGTTGTTGACTTGGTGATATTGTTGAATACTGGTAACAATGGTGCAAATATACACACTTTGTCATATTCGTCTAAAAACCCATCATCTATCAATTCTTCCATCTCTCATACACATTTGTCAACCTTAGTACACATCTCTCTCTTCGCTTCCTTGTTAGATGCTGTCTTGAAGTGTGGCAACTTGAACCAATGCACTTCTTTGTAAGGTTCTAAGTTGATTCGTCTGTCAAACTTAGTTGTTCATCATTAAACAGCAGTCGAACCAATATAGAGCAGTTTTCCAGATTTTAGTAAACTTCATCATAAAAAAAAAATATCAAGACCTGTAGCTTACGGTTGATTACCTTTTAACATCTTATAACATACAATACATCATTTTGAACTATCTGCTCTAGCGGGTTACATTCATGCTTTGTTGGCGAAATTTCATACGTAAAGTTCTCTAACCTCGCTTTTTTAACCAGTTCACTAGTTACTTACCAGTCCTAAACTCAGATAAAGAGGGGAGGTAGGACATAGGGTTAACAACCCTACCCCGGAAAACAAATCTAACCGCTAAAGAAACTTTAAAGCATAGAGAAATTATATAAAAAATAAAAATAAACTTAGAAGTAGTATTCATCATGGACTGACATCAGTTGGGGAAGCATTGAAAATCTGGGAGCACTGGACAGCTGTTTCGTCCTAGTATGGGACTCCTCAGCAGTACGCACCTACGACCCAGCCAGAGGTCGAACTCAGGGCCTTCAGGGTCCACGGTGAACGCGTTAACCATTCAGTCACTGGATCGGTTTCCAGTGGTTCATAATTTCCAACTTCTGTCAATTCACGACAGAGAAGCTGTGACCTGCGGGGTCAACCAGTCGGAAGTGAAGTGGATGCTAACTGAAGACCTTGGGTGACAGTCGCGCTATGTCGTGAATTGACAGAAGTTGGAAATTCGTGAACCACTGGAAACTGACCCGGCGGCTGAATGCTTAACGCGTTCACCGAGGATTCTGAAGGTCCTGAGTTCGACCACTAGGCGGGTAGTGGGTGCGCACTGCTGAGGTGTCCCATACTACGAAGAAACAGCTGTCCACTGCTCCCAGATATTTAATGCTTCCCCAACTGATGTCAGTCCATAATCAATACTACTTCTAAATAATAAAAAAACCCATTCATCCCAGAAATACAAAATTAACTTATTCCTCGCTGAAATCGGAGACAAAATAACGCCAATTGGTGACAACCTTCGGGAAACCAGTCGCCCGATGTGTCTTCTCTTCTCTCAATGTAAGCGAAAGTAAGCATAGGGACATGGAATGTCCACACTATGTTTGAACCTAGCAAGGTTGCCCAGGTTGCAAAAGAAATGAGAAGGTATAGCATAGAAGTGCTAGGAATCTGCGAAAGCAGATTCAATTCAATGGAAGTCGACTCTCCAAACTCTTAACTGGAGAGTCAATAATCTACTCCGATATTGTCACACAGACGACAACCACCAGCACACCAAGTTTTCGAGTGGCTATCATGATGTCCCCAACAGCATCGAAGGCTCTCTCTCTCATGCAGTGGGAACCAATCTCCTAAACAATCAGGATCATGACAGAAAGATTCAACTCAAAAGAAAGGAAAGTCACAATCATACAATGCTACGCTACGCACCTACAAATAATGCAGAGCAAGAGAAAAAGGAGAAATTCTACGGACAACTGCAATCAGTACAGGACAAGACTACACCCCACTTGGCGACATCAAAATTCCAATGAATAACATGAATGCCAAACTCGGAGTGAACAACACAGGAAGAAAACTCATCATGGATCGCAAAGCACCCGGTGAGATGATGAATGAGAATGGAGAACTCTTTGCAAACTCCTGCGCATTTAATGATCTGGTGGTTCGAGGCAGCGTGTAAAAACACAAGGATATTCACAAAATGACACGGATTTCACCAGACACACTAAAAATCAGATCGACTTCAACTCAAATCTCAAGAAAGTGGAGATGCAGCCTACTCGACACAACATCAAGAAGGGGAGCAGATATAGGTTCACACCACTCACCATCTGGTGCAAGTGTCAAAATCAAGTTGAAAGCTTTCAAAGAAGCTGGTCATAGACGACCACAGTCCCAGTTTAACACCCAGAACAGAAACTGAAAGACGAAGCTATCAAGAACATCTTCACACCAACCATCAGAACAAAATGGGAGACATTGAGCAACATCCCTGAAGGAACCTGCGTGGAAGAACACTGGAACTCTTTGAAAGCTATGTGGAAAGAAACCTACACAACCATATTGGGAAGGAAGAAGAAACTATACATGACAAGGAATGGATCTCCACGGACACACGGAAGCTGATAGAGCAGGGAGAGGAAGATAGTGAAGCAGAAGATGAACTAATGCAGTCCAAGGATGAACAAAAATAGAGGAACTGAATACAACCCATAAAACACTACACTGGGCAAAGAAGTGAAGGAGAGTGCGTGCAAAGACAAAAAAACACTTCTACGACACATTGGCTAGTGAAGCAGAACAGGCTGCAGGTAGGAGAGACCTGACAACACTATATCAAATAACCACGTTACTATCTGGGAAGAGATCAACACAGACGAAACCAATGAAAGATAGTGAAGGAGACTTAGTCAACAACAAAGAGGAGAACAAAAGAAACAATCACCTGACCACTTCAAAACTCTTGAATCGACCACCACCAACATCTGCAACTCGTCCAGATATACCACCAGCAACCGCAGAACTACCAGTGTACACAAGCCCTCCAACAGAAGCAGATGTCCTGAATGCCACAAAGTTGCTGAAATTCGGGAAAGCAGCAGGACCAGATGGAATTCCACCAGAAGCACTGGAAACAGATGCAGAGACAACAATGGACATGCTCACACCACACCACTACTGCACAAGGTTCGCAAGGAAGGGAACGTACCTGCCCAATGATTGGAAGAAGGGCTACCTTGTCAAACTTCCAAAGAAGGGAGACCTAAGTCTTTCCAAGGACTGGCGAGGAATCATGCTCCTGTCCACCTCAAGATAAATATTAGGCCACATCATCCTGGAGACTAAAAAGTGCTCTGCATTCTAAATTACGACCGGAACAGGCTGGCTGGCTGGCCTCAGGAAGTACAAATCATGTCCAAACCAAATTGCAACGCTGCGCTACGCATCATCATAGAACAGAGCATAGAATGGCAATCAACTCAACTCTACCTCAACTTTATCGACTTTGAAAAGGCCTTCGACAGCATCAACCGAGAAGTAATTTGGCAGTTGCTTCAACACTACGGTTTCAGTGCCATAGACTTTTATCAACCTCATTCAACAGCTACATGCTAAATGATGCTACATGCCAAGTGATTCATAGTGGAAAGCTCAGCGATGCCTTTGAAGTGAAGACAGGAGTAAGACAAGGTTGCTGCTCACTATCACCGATGATCTTCCTGATTGTGGTCGGCCGAACTGGACTGGATCATGTAACAAACTGTGAGGAGCGCGGAGAAGAGCATACGCTGGCTTGACCCATGAAAAGACCCTAGAAAATTTGGATTTCGCTCATGATGATTTATGTCTAATATCGCACAAACTCGAAGATCTGCAGGCGAAAACTAACAAGTTGACAGAAGAGGCAGCGAGGACGGGGTTTCAAGTGAATGTAGAGAAGACGGAGGGGATGAAGATACTCAACTAACAACAACATCAACAAAAATAACCAATCACCATAAACGGGAGAAATCTGAGTCGAGGGTGACATGGAGGAGGTCGTACGAGGAAGAAATGAAAGGTTGTGGGTAGTCGTGGAGCCAGGTTGAAAAGACTGCAGAGAACAGAGTGCAATGGAGACGTGCTACTGAATCCGTATGTTCTACTAGTAACCAAAGGGACAAATAATAAATTTTTTTCTAGTACAGGATCAACGAGTATTGGAAGTGTCAACAGATATTTATTTGGAGAAACAAAAGCCTAGCTAGAAATTGAAATGTAAGCGTTGTTATCTGAAATGGTTGAAAGCCATACAAACACACAAAGGTAGGTTAAATAATACTTCTAACCCGCCACAAGGACTAAATTGATCCAGAAACAAGAACAACATTGAACGAACTAGTACTCTCAGCTAATATATTCACTTGTATGTTCCAGAATGTTGGGAAAATATGTAAAATAATGAATTTATTCGAAAGAAAAAACGAGGTGGGACGTCCAGTAGGGAAATTTTCGATGATAGTGGCAGTACGAAAGATTCGGAACACTCTTCAAGACCAAGCTACAAACTTTACTACCAAAAACTGCTGAAACAGGGAAAAGTAATTAGAACCAGTGACCTAATAAATACTTCTAGGAAACCTCAAGTTTCAGGACTTACTTTGAGGGTTTCAATGGAATGTATATTTTCGCGGCACTGAGTAGCCACTTTATCGCTACCCGTCTTTGTTAAATAATCCAGAAGAACCAGAGCTTTGCAGACATGACGCCAATGTTTATTTCTGTCATTAAGTCGCTTCCAAATCATCTGCATTATCTCCGTAAAAGCCATAACATTGTGAGTCTTGTCAGCTATTTCAGCCATTAAGGTGCTACTTGGACCCCACGGATCGTTAGAAGTTGCCTCCCGGACCTTTCTTTCAGCATCTGTGTAGTTGTGTACGACGTTTTAATGTGTCTGTGAATAGGCATGCTGAAATGTAGACACAGAATGACTACAAGACCCGTTGTGCCCACTAATGTCAAAATAGGCGCGAGGTGGACTAGTCTGTTTTCTAATGGATTCAAACAGTTGTGGCTGAATAAACGGTTTCACTATTCTGGTTTCCTAGTCTGTAATCAGTCAACCACTAACTTTTATGTTTGTGAACCCATGTTCAGAAAGTATCAGCTTCCCGAGTGGCTTTGTCTATAAGCTTACTATATGACCTCGAGTGGATAATGAGTTCGTTTCACGTGGCCAATGCGATATCTACGGGGAGAATATTCCTAGCCCTAATAACCCTGATAAGAAAGACATGTCCGTTTGTCCATTTCGGTATGTTCAATTTCTTACAATGTTCTCTTAGGATTTGTTTTAGAGCTTTGCTTATGCAAAAGGGGACAGGTGACGTGAAGCCCAATATCAGTAGTGCGAGAGAAGCTTCGACCTCCCGCCTCTAGTTATTTGGGCTTGATTTTTGTTGTTGGGTCTGCTCCTGCAGTGGCCAAAAGAATTTCTTTTGCTTTTCCGCTTTCTGCCCCGGGGATATGATTATTTTCGTGGCTTGGTCGTTGTAGTTTCAGACTGAGATGGTTTGGGAGCTACTGGTTGGGAAGATTGGGGGTCTTTCGTAACTCCTGTCTGTGTAGATGCGTGGAAGGCAGCAGCGAGATGGAGAGAAGAGGTAGATGTGACTTACGCAAAAGGTGAAAGCGGGTAGTGTGGGTCTGATTACTGGAGAAGTATTAGTAAATAGTGTGGATGTATCAACAAAGGAGATGGTGAGTGGTAAGTAGGAAGGAAGTAGTGATGAGTGGATGAGTTTAATAGCCACCTGATTACACCTGTGGTATATCACGAGGATAACGCAACTGTCTAGCCATCTGAATGGGTCTACTGAGGGTGTTGCGATAACATCGCTCAGGAAGGTATTACATAAAGCGCATACTCTTGAGGAGAAAAGTGAGATCTGAGCTTGGTGCTAACTCTCTGGTGTGTTATTCTGATATGGTTCCGTCATAACCACCACCATGTTGCAAGTAAGGTTGGTTTGTATGCGTGCGCTGCCCAATGGGCAATTTGGTAAGTCACGATAAGTTCACCCCTATTTCTGCGACTGCCCAAAGTGAACTGATTTATAAGTTTTTCGGAGTGTGCCCTCCCCCTCACTCCCACACCTGATTTTGGTGCAGATCCTTGTGTTTATCGGGGAGATTAGAGTTTCTGTGGATGGCTGAGGATGCTACCGTAGTGATGGCTTCCAAATGCAGCCGTATGCAGGATTTTAAAACTTCTCAGAACAGGTGAGGGGTGACAACATCAAGCCATCCATCCAGAAAGTGTACAATCTCGTTTGCTGTGGTTGTCGTTTTTTGTAGTTAGGGCTGGCGTTCAACGTATCGGAGACTTCAAGCCCCAAATCTTTTACCGTGATTAGTTTGCCAACAGCACGGTCACTCATCTTGTATCGGAGTCCTGCTGTCCTTGTCTTCTGGGTACTTATGTGCATTGCCTTGCTCTTTCCAGGTTGAAGCTCAAGACTTTTTCAGACAACCGGAATTCCAGTAGCTGCGGGTCATTTCACGGTTTCGTGCAGTTGGTGCCTTCCTTCACTACCCTCTAGATTTTGAAGTCATCAGTGAAAAGATCTTGTACGGCAAATCGTTGACAAATAGAAGGAACAAAAGTGGTCCAGGGGCTGCTTCTCGGATACCCTTAATGTCAATGGCCTCCACTTACCCGTCCTCTGCCTTCTAGGCACTCCTTGAAACAAGACAGTAGGGGTTCAACGATGCCAACTGGCGCACTCTTGTGCGCCGGGACCGGGGATAGGACACTGTCAAATGTTTCAGCTAGGTCGAGAAAAGTAACATGTGCCAGTTTCCAGCTACCCCAACCGAAACTTCGGTTGTCACAGGTAGTCAACAAGTCTGTGGCACATGAATGACTGCTCCAAAGGCCGTGCTGAGCAGTATGGATGGTGTTTTTCCTGATAAGAAAGTCCATGATCCCATCGGCTATCAGGCTTTCTAATACTTTGGACAGAATGGGGAGCAGGCCAGTCAGTCTTCAGCTACCTGGACTTTTTCTGTCTCCTCCCTGAAGATGAATAACAAAAAGCGTGATTCCATTCTTTGGAAAATCTGCAGGACCAGCAAGTGCTTGAAGGTGTCACAGACTGGTTTCGTGAGTGCCTCAGCTCAGTTCCTTGGGATTAGTGGTTTCAAGTTATCGCGGTCACTGAACTTGCATGGGTAGAGCCAGGATAGTTTCACTGATACTTCATCCTCTGTGGTTGAAATGTGGCAAATGTTTATTCATGGTCCGATCACTGTCACATCGTATCAGTGCAGATTTGGTGTCAGAAGTACCAAGTTGTACTTCCGAGTGTGAACTCGGAGGCCCAGGTATCTCTAGACTATTTAGTATGCCTCCTTCGGGACCCCTGATAAGATTAACTCCTTCGATGGTTGACTTCTTTTCTGGCATGAAGCGATACCGGTTTTCGGGGTCACTTTCAAGCCTCTATGCCGGATTTGATTGGTAGCTGAACACGTCTTAGCAGAATCTTATTTTCCGGCGGCTGCAAATTCCTCTGTAGTTCACAAAGTTAAAGTCCTCTGTTTTGGTGAATGCCGCTTAAACCAAGCCTGCTTTTCGGTACGTAGTGCTCTTTCCGTCTCAATCTTCAGCCATAAGGTTCACACGAACGGTCACAGAGTTACTTCTGGCACCTTGCGACTGATGGCTCCAAGGGTTATTTCCTTCGCCTATGTCCAGTGTTCATTTATTCTGAGCCGAGCTCAGCCTACAGATCATGGTGAATTCATGGGATAGTCTCTCTTGGTCTCATGGTTGGCCTAGATGTAGTAAGGGTATCTCCGGTTGCAGTCCCCTTGGCGATTATGGAGAGGGTTTTTATTGTATGATCACTTAGACCATACAAGTTAGACACTCATTTTCGATGAGATGGCCGTCGGTCAGGACGTAGTTCGGATATGCAACATCTCTGTTAGGCCCCTAACGTGAGGCATCTCCTACTTTCGGTGGGAGATTAGCAGCCTTCATTGCATTCTTCGGGTTCTGGCCAAAGGATACGGCATGCCTCCCTTGTGTCTATGAGAGGATGAACGGAGTGTTCAAGCCATCAGCGATGATTATGGAGTCGTAATCTGCAGGGGTTGTCGCTAACACTGCCTCGATTATCATTTTCTTATGGACAGGAGATCTGGTGAGGGACCGATACATGAGCCCCATCAGGTATTTGATACGACGAAAAGTGGGGCAGCACTAACCAGATTTCGGGAGCTGGATGGGGGCGTTGTCACCGACCCTTCTTGTCTTTGAAGGGATACCTAAGCAAGAAACCGCTCATCCTCCCCTTGAGCTCCCTGTCCCGTGCCAGTGATATACATCCCTCCATCAGAAGTGTCCGGCCGAAGCTGAGGTTCCTTTATAGATATGATGTCGGTGTGCAGGTGTTGGTTGAGAACCTTCGTTCTTGCCACTTGCCCTCTTGATACTCAAACTTAGCTGTAAAAGATGTTAGGGTATACCTGATGAAAGCAAAGGGCAAATTTCACATTTATGTGGGGGGGGCCTACGTGGATGGGTCTAGGACAGCCAGTTCTTACGGGAATGGCTGTAGTCATCACAGCCTGAGATGACTGCTCACTGTATTGTGACGCAAGGAAGGCCCAACAAAAAAGTCATTACTTCATGACCGCGGAAAACCACGAAGGTGGCAGTGCTTCAATTTCCCCTGTGGTCACTCGCTCAGGTGAGAGGATATCGTGGTTCAGCAGCCTGATGATGAACTATGTTGCGATAATTAACAACGTCCGTCCTGGCAACACCGAGTCAGGACGACAATAACATGACGATGACATCCCTCTAATAATCAGACGAGACTTGGCGTAGTATTGAGCTTCAAAAGGGCTTCACATTACCACTATGTTCTAGAAACCGCTGGCCGCTGGGGTAGATAAAAAGTGACCACAGGTAAGAATTATGATAAGAACACCTGTAGAAACTTCACCACCTGCAATGAAATCCTCATCGCCAAGACCGGCAGTAGTAGAGCGTCTTGGGAGAAATGAACCTGGCTCACCATCTATTTACTGCCTATTCGGTCAGAAATCTTCATCCTCAAGATGAGCCACAACTACAGAAAGCCCTTAAAATGACGCTCTGATCTGTGAAACCAATCCAGTATGATGGCAGTACGGCAATTCACTAAATTTTCGTTGGCTCATGTCGTGGCAACAAACTAAATGAGACAGATATACCACCTAAAGTAAGTAATCGAATCTAATTTATCGTAAATGAAGCTGATTTTCACGCGGAAAGATAGGGGCTTAATGCTTCCGAAATGTTTCTGTAGCGTCACATAATTCCCAAAAATCAATAGCCTGGGGTTCGACGACATTCAACATTGATGCTGGCTTTGATAGTTTAACTGGACTCGCTAAGCTGAAGGCACCCGGTCAAGCATCCTCGCCATTTGGCACGCTGTCGTGTTATGCTGCACTGCTCGTAATCGACTCTGTAACCAGTTAGTTGGAATGCATTGGTATCTTGGCACAACCACCCAAATATACCACTCCATCCGACTACGCTATCGTGTTCTTCCTTGGTCTCGTGCCCGTGGGTATATAAGAAGTCCGAATAATTAGTGACTGGTCTTTCCGTCTGCCAAGTTCGCGCCAGGACAAATCCTATTTTCGATGAACAATACTGCGTGTGATCGCACCAACGTGGAACCCAGTACCTCTTTTACGAACTTCTACAAACAAGTTAATCTCTTCCTACTCACCTCCATACTCTGCAGAACGGTTCCAGGTCGTTAGAGGATTCCAATGCAGATCTGGCTACACATCCTCTGTGGTTTAGGTCAACCAAAAGGGTGGTTAGGTCCTGGCATGATACGTTCTGAGACTCTGGTTCAGGTGGAATATTTCAACGTTACCTCTGCGGACAATTGTTTGGACTCGTTGAAAGGAAGAGATGAGGAGACTCAGAAGGTAACCACGAGAGACAGGACAAATATGTGTTCGACAAAGGGAAAAGCGGA